GAACTCCGTGAAGTCCGCACTGGGTGCCAGTACGCTTTAAAGGGGCGGCAAGGTTGCTCTGTCATTCCAGGACGGAATAATGACCGAACTCCCTTTACCTGGAGCCACATTTTACCATTCCGGGATCGAATATCTCCGACCGAAAGTCCGTTGGTCAGCCAAGCCAGTGGCGTTCGCTCTCTGTTATTAAGGTAACCCGCGCTTGACGAAGACTTTCTACCGATTGGTGTCACGCTACATTCTAAAGCCGGTAGTTTCTTCACAGTTACGAAGTCTTTTAAAGAAAAGACCCGAGTACAGTTGGCTGTCCCATATACCCGTGGATCCGCCGGGCACGGTTTTTTGCTAAGTTTGGCGTATATTAAATGGTTTACTGCGCATTCCAGGGCGTGCTTTCTTGTTTATTTCAGTAGATTACAGCACTCGTTTCGTTCACATTCTCTTAGCTCGGCGAATGACAGTCCGGGTCGCGCAAAAGATATTGTCTGTTCTTCAAGGTTGCTACGGGGTCATAAACGCCGTAGTCACGGAAGATGCAAGCTACTTCCGACACATTGTGGAATACTTGAGACGCTTTAGCATTTACACGTAGTATCTGCTATAGCCCGTCCATAAGCGAACAAGCTGGTGGAGCAAGCGATGCCCACAGTTACGGAGCGACTGTCCGCGCGTTTGCTGAAAGCGCCCGGCTCCGCCGTTTCCTCGTTCGCCTTTAGCATAAAATACTACAATATGCGAGCCCCTGGTGCAACTCCGTCAGCTTTACTCGATGAGTTCAAAGCCATATCTCGTGATGAGCAACCAGAGTCGTGATCAATCCAACCGCCCGGTCTATCCGTCTCTGAGCTTGAAGAGGAAGTCTGCATCTTCGGTGAAGACAGCCCTCTAAAACACATCCGTCAGGTCCATCTCAGACATATGTGTTTATTCAAAGTAACTGTGACTGGGTTCAAGATTTTTTCAAATTAGAGGCCTGAGCCGCTCACAAACTTTTCGACAATATTCCGATCCATATCCATAAGTATAAATACTTCGACGATGAGAGTAAGCAAGTCGACGTAGTTGTGTCGAGATATGTCAGACTTTTGTTTGATAGATCTAACAGTTCCAAATGTGGGCTACAAGTGGGCATGAATGTTTGTTCCAAAATTTCAGCTCAGCCTACGTAGCACTAACTGAGCGGGTGGCCCTTATTTCTGAAGGACATTTGACGTACTATATGACACAACTAACCACGGACCGTCTTCTCATAGTTTTCAGAACATGTACAGATTTTTTGGTAATAAATATGCCGTTATAAAGGAAACATATCTTTACTGAGTACAACAGTCAGAATACAAACACGAACTGCAACTTTGGTTTCACTGACAACGAAAGTATATGATCGTAAACAACCAGAGAAAGTGCCTGTGAACTTTTGCACACAGAATGAATCAAGAATTGCCTGTTGCTTCATGCTTGAAAAGAATTCAGAAGCAGCTGATACTGATAAAATCTTTTTGCGCTATTGTTTTTACGAAAGTTAGGCACGAATCTCACATTAGAACTGTACCTTTGAAACGGTTTTTTTGTCGAATTCTTTACATTACGGTCCGTATAAGTTTCCTCCTAGCGAGGGTTTATGCGAAAACAGGAACTACCTAATTTTCACTCACATGCATATGTATGTACATATATATATAGGATTAAAAAAAAATTTACCAGTAAAGTCAAGACGGAAATGCGTATCTTAGAATAAGGTCAAAATATTATTCACTAAATATTGTTGGGTAAATATCCTCAAACAGTTAATAGATGGTGCGGAATTCCCTTTTACTATTACTTGACTATTGGTATGGTTCACCTCCGTACAAGAACTTTAATTCTGTCAAGCACCAACGTGAACACCGTTATTTTCCTACTGACTAGCAGCTAGGACCTGTTTTGAATGTAAAGAGATCTAATAGCATAGCTATGCCGGGTAAGCGCGCAGTATTGAAATAGTAGCAATACGCTCTGATGTTAATACTAATGTCGAATAGCATGCTCCTTTTGTCGATTCTCACGTTCTCTTTCATCGAATTGTAATGCAAATTGTCTTTGCTTTCTTTATTTTTATCGGGAAAAAGTAGCTCGTATCAGAAGCTGTATGCGGTATATTGGCATTACTTTCAAGGAAAGTAAGTGGAAACTGAAACAGTTGTTTAAAACCGAAAGCAGAGGGTGTGCAAAAGAACTCATTTGCTGAATGACATGGAGATTAGCTTCCTAAAAGGCTGCGCGCACTTCAGCAGATGTTTAAGAAGATTCAACGTTATTTTGCACTTATTTACTGAAAGTACACTGTTTAGGCTATTTGAAAAGATACAGTTACAAATTATTATTTACTTTTCATGCGCAATTTTCAACTCAAGTCAATATGAATGGCCTGCATATTTTTCACTTACTAGTCATATCAAGAATTTTTTGTCCTTCACTCAGGTTTCTATCATGAGGCGATGGTGGCGGTATTAGCTCAAAACATGCCTTGTGACCATTCCTCATTCGGTTTTGATGATGTAGTCCAAAAGTGAATGCACTGGGAAGGCCTTAAACCGAACTGGTATTACTACAAGTACCTTGGTATTACTTCTTTACATATTTGAAAATATGGCCGAAATCAATGACTTAAATAATAAGCAAGCTCATTACTACAGTACACTTACTGGAAGTTTACGTTTTATAAAGTGAAAAAGGCTACAAGGACAAAGGCCGTTGCTTGCTAACTGCACATTTATAAGAGTGTACGTTCTATAATTTCTTTCAAATTGTGGACTCTATTTGTACAACGCCGATGCTAATACTCCGTCTACTCGAATTAAACACCAATACTAAATTTAATCACCAATCGAAATTAATCATGCGACGAAGTACTCCAAAAACTGGTAGCATAGAGTTGAGTGAAAAGAAAATCGGATCAGCCATAATTCTTTATATGGAGAAACCCTTCAAATTAGTGAAGCGAAATTGATCAGTTTTTAATTGCAGAGCAGTATCGTATGTTTTAGAAAGTGCATGATAAAGAACGCCCTTTGTCGGAATAAACGATTGTATTACCTAATCCTATAAAACAAAGATATGGCAAACAACCGGCATTTTTTTACTGTTAAACATATTTGAAGATGGCGTATCATAACAGGCCGGACGGTCCTAGACATGGTCATAATTTCTAAATTTTCTCCAACTATATAAGCGACCTGCCGAAGACCTACATGGAAATAAGGCTAGGCGGCACAGTCTACCATTCGAAAAAAAATGCCTCATTGCAAAATAACATTATATAATTCTACGGCTACAAGGTGGATTGATCGGACCTTATGGAAATCTGAAGGATCAGCCAATAGAAGCAGCAATAAAGATGTTGAAGGTCAAGGAAGTGTTAACGGTGATATTGTTTACAAGCGCCTTCACCACTTCTGTCTTACTAGTTTCAAATTATTTCGCGTCTTAATTCTAACTAAACGGAATTATCGAGCAACTGTATTGCGGGTATGCTCACCAGTCAGCTCAGATTACAGAAGCAAGGAAGCCTTATATCATTTGGAATTATCTAATATGAGGCCATCATTTCGAAAGCCCTGGCAGGCAAAAATCAAACCATAATTGAAAATAAAGTAGGTAATGTATTTCATTCATAAGATCAACCTGCTTAGATCATGTTCAATAACTTTAAATATTAATCTGACTGTCATATGCCCGGACGTCCTAATCAAAGTAAAGTGCTACTCAAACAAGTGTTTTTTTTAGTAATAGTAGTAGTTACACTTTGAAGTAGACTGTACAAGTTTGACAATCGACCCGCAATCCTTTCTAAATACTAAATTCGCGGTCTCACCGGATTTGGATGTCAGCCAGTATATTCCTCGAGCTATTCAGTCAGCTTAACCTGTAATATACATTTTTTGCACTGTGAAGAAAAATACCAGTGTTTTATACAACCTTAAGGAAAAGCTCACTCATTTTTAAAAGTGTGTTTTCTTATTGTGAAGGTTAGTGGTAATTTCCAACAAATAAATCTGTAGAAGCGACTGAGAGCATACGCTGCTCTCTTTAAAACGCGTTTTTTTAAGATTTAATATTGAATTCTTAACCTCGTTGCAATTTCAGGCAAAACAGTAGTGAAGAGATAAACATGTACAAATTTTAAATAACACAGCATGAAATTGTTGAAGTTGCATGAAGTCATGCTTGATGAAGGTGTGTTTAACATGACTAACTACTGATAACCTTTTCTTTGCCATACTAAGGGTTTCTGGTCTTCAACTTTTTCATATCCAGAGTATTTCGACAAAATTCTAGGCACTCCGTAGTTCGTCAATACCTATCTCATTTTATTAGTTCACACTTCTACGCGTGAGGAATTTACTTTGAAGTGTTTCTTCGCTTTTTTTTTTCAGAAAAAATGAAGAAACTCGTAAAAAAAGAAAATTTTTCGAACACTCTAAAAATGTTTATTCAACTAATTCTTTTTATTAAACAAATCCGTTCCGTGATTATTTTACAACTGTTTTGCCAGTGGTATTTAAAAAGTGCAGTTTAGGTACACCTAAAGTTAGATTTGATTAATATTAATCAAAATTTCGTTTGCAAAATATTTGCATATATATGAGTGCTAGCTTATATCTATGTGTAATTGAATGCTTTGGGCTTATTAATTTTGTAACTGCAGTTTTTACAGGATCCGGTGTCAAATCAGAACAAAAAAGAGAAGCTCTGTATAAAAAATTGAAAATATTATATTGAAATATATTCAGTGTCTCTAAACATTGTCAAAAATACCAGTAATTAAATTGTTGAGAATCCTATGACCTTATGTAATAAGAGAAGCAGATATATTCACTAGCCTACATTAATCATAGCAAGGAAAGGAAAAAGCTGACCATATATACATTCAAATCACACCATTCTTAAATTAATTATCACACTAGAACTTGTAAGCTCTATTATAGTGCTACGTATCTTTCCTCTGGCGCCATCGTTAGCCCTACTTCATCATTCACTCAAACTCTGTAAGTACTAATTTATGCATAATGTATATCCGATGCCGTTGTTGCTTTTTTTTTGCTTTATATATACAATATAAATCAATTAATAAACTAAGCCTTACTAACTTTACTGGGACGTTAAAAAGCATAATATGAATAAATTCGTGCTTACGTCTATAAAAACTCAAAACTAAAGGTTGTAAAATGCTCGTTCTCGTTAGCGAACCATAAGGCTGATCCAGTCCTCCCCAATATAAGGAAGCTTGGCACTTTAGAAAATTACTTTCGTAATGTTGATGCAACTTTTGAACTTGCATGTGGGCGCGGTTAGCTAAAAACTTTTCGTACTCGGGCGGTGAGCAAAATGTAGATATGTTCATTGAATGCGTAGACGGTCTAAAAGGGACAGGCGCACCTTTAGGAAAAAGATATGCTAAAGTTGTTGAAAAAATCCTGAAGGAAGGTCATACCATTCTTTAAGTGTAAACCTAGTTTTCTCTTGCAAGCTTATTTTCTGCATGATTGCGAATTTCTATTTTCACCCTGTTTAGCTTCCTAGACCCTTGTACATATATACACACTTAAAGTTTACGGACATCACATCCATAAAGTTGGTCTGGGTCGATCATTCAATTAGTCTGCTTCTATTTCTTTTTACATTCTGTTTGCTGCTGTTATCCTCGCCTATTTTATATTTCTTCAGTGACTATTCCTTGAATTTAGTTCATTGATTTTGTTTTATTCATTCGGTTGTCTCTCGTTTTTCATCCCATAGGTGATGGCGATGTTGGCGCTCCATTTTCTTCGGGGGCAGACAAGTCAGTTCATGTCGGTCGATAAAAAAAAAGTAAGTCCTAACAATGAAGTTCGATTTTCTGTTTTTTAATTCAAAAAGAATGGAGGCTTTAGTAAAATCTACTTGAAAAGGTTATCAGCTCATACCGTTAATCCCTCGGATACTGTATTTTGAAAATTCTGGTGACTGCAGAATTGTCATACTGATAATAGACCAACTTATATAGTTGCTCATGTTTAGCCTGTAGCAAATGCATTAAGATTTCTCCCGGCCAATTGTGTGCTCGTGGTTTTTAATGAAAGGCTGCTAGCCTACGGTTAACGCTTGGCACATCTAGTGTAATAGAAATAGATTCAGCTTTCAGCAAACTATCGAAGAAGACTAGAAATGGCGTAGGTAATAGGTTACACATGCTAAGTGTGAATATAGATAATGAAAGATTCACTGATATGTAATGTATTGAGAAAATGTGCATGTGAAAGTTGAATGGCTGCATATGCTAATTTCTAAAATCCTAAGACTAGAGCGAAGGGGCTAGAATTGTTTCCTTTATAGTGTACAAGTAAAGTTAGATGCATAGTGTGGGCTAGGCCTAGAACTGAGCATAAACACACTTAGTTTCGTGCTGAGGATCAAACATTTAAAGGAACGCTTGACGGGGGTACTGGAAGTTATACACGAAACGCTGAGATATTTATGCTGACATAAGGAAAGTGGGCAGCAAGTAGCTAGTCAATCGACAATAGTGTTATTTTCTGGACCGAAAGCTATGAATGCAAAAATTGTAAGTCATAAAGTAGGCCGGTAGTTAATACGTGCGTTGCTTGTGAATTATCAGTGAGGTTATGCTACAATAGAGAGCGCGTACAGGATTACACATAATGACTTTCACATCTAACATAAAACTCCGCATGCCGTATATGAGAGGTGCATTTATAATTTTTTTGGGTAATATTATTAATTAATAAAGTTAATATTATTGTGTAAGCTATTGAGCCACGTCGAAAAGAAAGCAAAACGGGAGAATTCTATACTAAATACAATCCTTTACTGCTGTTGCGTGGTTCAGCAGTAGAGAATCGACAACATGTGAGAAAATGTGCTAGTCTTTTGTCGAAAATGTACTCTTAATGTAACCTTGATGCAACTAAGTGTTGCATCCTCTAGTTTAGTGTCTACATCATAAAATATAAATTGTACACAGCGAAACAAAAGAAGGCATAAGCAGATAATATCAATAAATCAGTAATATTTGCATCAGCAATCAGTAGAATGGTTATGTCTCGTCATATAATAACAAACATATTCTAATGATCTTCATTTGCTATAAAATAACTGGTCTTTCACTCCTGCGTCAACTGTATGCTTACTTTTGTCAGCATTCGGTCAACGTTTCCTTGTTCAACTAACCATTATTTCCAGAATATGGTGTGAAGTCCGTTAACAGAACAACTTATCTTTACATGTTAGGAGTTGGTGCATCATTGCTTAGTGGGTTTGATGTGAAAAGGGTCAAAATTTTAGCTCTGTGCCAAACCCTAATCATTTAAATGAAAGTAAACTCCCAACGGATCTAATGCACATATGCTGATACCAGATAGTGATAACAGATAGATAGACACATGTCGGTAAATAAGAAGGTCTAGACGTTCTGAACAACTACTTCTAAATGGACGAACACTAATAATAATATGAAAATGTGGCGGGATAATAAGGATACCTAAAAGCATTTACCAGTACACAGCAATTCTCTCAGATTTCTTCCTTTCTCCCTCCATATAATTTCACCTTGCAGTCATGTCCTACCAGGATGAATATAATTTTACTCTCTGTAATATATTCGAAATGGTCTTCACTGCGTTGCCGGGAGCAGGCGGGTGAATTGAAGTTTAAACTCGATTTATTATTACAATTATTAGTGTTATGAAATGTCTGTTACAATCGTAATCCTACATGACATGACATTCACTCTTCGAGAAACCATGCCATTCGCCCTTCATAGCTGTTTACGACTCGAGGACTTCTTTTTTATTGTCGTGGATTATGCCGTCCAAAATGCAATAGTGCGCATTTCTCATAAGGTAAACTCGAATCTAATCCTTTTATCCATATTTAAAAGTTTACTAAATGGTTGTTAGAAAATTACGTGAGGTTACGTAATGTCCTTTGCGTAGTGTATTGTAACACCATCTGCACATCTGTTGAATGCTAATATATACGTATGATTTGTTCCTTTACCAAAATCGACAACGAAGGAGCAAAAAATTACCAGCTATTTCATATATTTATATAACAGGGTTTTGTATAGCTTCCTTGGAATAGTCGTAATCATAATAACAATGTACAGATCTTGCGTTTTCATTTTTAAGTACTGATAACAGATGCGTTCTTAGAAAGGTTGCGTTGCGAAGAAACATGCAGACCCAGTCGATGAAGCTTTCCCTTATTCCCAGTTGTATAGTTACGCTTAGTTATACATATGTCTCTGTTTAGATGGGGGTTTGAAAGCACGATGAAAAATATATGATACTTAAATAGTAAAATGAGTCTATTTTCTTCATCCAGTGAAACTTTCTGTCAATTTGTTGGAAATGTACGCTGTGTTCTGTATGTAAGAAGTTTGCTCGCGATCAACATTTGATCGTAACGGACGTTGATCCCTCCTTCTCGGCTTATGAGGAAGAGTCCTCTAGGACAGGAGGTCATTATCGAGGTCTGACGCAAGCCGTAATCCCTGTATGGTATACTATATGCAGTAAAAGAAATGCAGCTGTACCGCGTCTACGAAATTACCTGTGCAACTTCTTCACATAATACTCTGTTTATAATTCGCTCGCAATGTTTATAATTTTAGTTCGCACAATGGCTTTAGGGTTATAATGCATTTTTGACAGAAATTATTATATCGCAAAGCTGCAGACCGCCATTGATTTAATAGATGAGGCTTTTCTTTGCTTGCTCCTTTTCCAAGACATAGGCATTAATTGAACATAGTAATATAATTGAAGGAACAGAGAAAAGTGTGGTCTAATTTGTCTAAATAAATCAAGACGCATGATAAAATAGTATATAAACGTAAATATGTCACATTAGGTCTAATTAACACTGGCTTCCGAGTTATAACAGATCGCATTAGTTGAATGGAAGTTGAGTACTATTAGCAAAATCTGTTTGGATCATTTTTCTCTCCGCTAGCTTAAAAGGGCCCACTACAGGTGCAGCGCCAGTATCGCTTATTTAAATTAACATACAGAGTTTTTGTACCTTTGTTACATCTTTTTAACACTTTATATTTACTTACATTTATCGGGATATTCAATATGATTACATGTTGTATTTCGTTCAGTATGTAGTATAGGAAACATCAAAATGGAACAGATGCACGATTTACACGCTCGAGTCCTATTGATGACCAAGAAGCATCGAGGCTGCTTTGTCTTTGAAAATTGACTCAAAAACGCTTACCACACCCGAAAATTGCAAGTAGATTACAACATATTATTAGCTTATGTCAACAATAAAACAAAATATATAATCATCTGCTTTCTTCAACCGAGTGTGGTCTCTTACTATCAGTTAGCTCGACTGCAAATTCAAAATGGTACTTAACAACTCCTTATGGTATTCCGCCAGTATATCGCTAATGTATGATTATTATAATGCGATTAATATAACAATAAAAGCAAAGAAATATGAATGTAGAGTAATTTCCAACGTATATATTTTTAGATGGATTTAGCCATGGCCGCCTTAGAGTTAGGGTTACTTCTCTGTAACATAAGTTCGTATCATATGAATTTTTTTTTAAAAAACAAAAAACCATTTACCAACATTTGGCGCCACACAACATGCGAACTACTGACTTATAAAGAGAAGCTCTCTTTTTGTGAAGTTACAAACTTCTACATGCAAGAGCATCTATCTCCCTTAATAAATACTTTATTTCTTTTAACTTACTATCGGCTCATAGTTTTACTTAAAAAAAATTAGTCGCAATAATTTTTTTCATGCTCATGCTGTTTGGAAATTATTTTTTGAAGCGCAATTTGTGCGAACATGACGAATTGACGAAACATAACGATTGGAAAATTAACAAAGTGAGAATACCCATTGATGTTTAAATTCCTTACCCTGATATCACTGAAAAAAACTTGATCGATAAAGCTTACAAAACTATTTGCACGTGGAGTCGAAATTGAGGTTCTGGGTGAAGAAAAAATGCAATGTCAATAAAATATTTTGCCGTTTACTGAGGTCAAACCACTGCCAAACAAGCACCGAATATTTATCGCCTTTCTTATCTAGTGAGGAGACTTCTCAAAACGGGTTTGCAAAGTCTAAAAATGTTATTTTGGAATTGGAAAAGCGCTTTGGTCCGGTTGGCCTCCTGAGGTCCGTGAAAGCTATCTATAAATACTTTTAAACGAAGACGATTGGCAAACAGTTTGTAGCTTGGGTGAGAAAATTATTGTTATTATGCATTATTTATATGATGTCGACAGGAACCTTTAATGAGATTTACCCCAAAAAGTAGGAGCTTAGTCCTAAGTCTTATGTACCGGGAAGTGGTTGAGAAAGACCAGACGGTCGGAAAGGATCTATATATGGCCCAACTGCATCGAACGAATGAGTATATCTGACAGTGATAATATATAATATAATATTCCTGCTGAAAATGTTTCAGAGGGCATAATTTTTGTAATTAAAGTTGTCTAGCAATTTTGTCTTGCAAAGTAACCGTAGATATAGAAGCCTCCAGTATGGTCTTGAGAGCATTCATAGCAATCTTGTTCACCTTTTTATTGCATCTGAAACATTATGGGGAGTAATATTGCTGTGTATGTACGTACTATGCTCGGAAGACGTTTATCCAGAAGGAGGTCACACGTACAGGAGGTGCGACCGCAGTGTGGTCACTGTTGTGGCCATTTCTGCAGCTGCACATGCTGCTAATAGATGGGATATTAGATGCTAATAGCTGCTAATAGATGGCGCATTTATTTTGCGGTAACCCCTTCAGCATTTATCTGTGGGAAAGATTGCAGCAATTA